ATATATAACACCTTTCAAAGCGCATGCCAATAATTTGCAATTTATAATCGCGCTACTGTCGTACACTTCACTCTGATATATGTAAAATTTTCTTTTAATGTTGCGTAACAATAAGACAACTACAAGAAATATGTTTTCAGCATGTGCCGCGATATGTAACATTATACGCAATGCGCGTAAAGTCGCAGAGTTGCAGTTTTTTTTTAGCCAGAACGTGCACAGTTGTGGTGTTTTAAATTTTTAGCGTAAAGTAACAAAGCCTAAGTTACTATTCTTTTTTTTATATTTCCATTTTATTAAAATTNTTTCTATGTATAAATTTCCACGGAATAACTTACAGCAACTATGTATTATTACACATATGTCTTTCGGCATGTGCCGCAGTACGTAACAATATACGCGCGTAAAGTTGCAAAGTTTTAGCAAAAGTGTGCAAAGTTTCTTCATAAAAAATAGTATTTACATGCATCATATATATTTCCACCAAATAAAGTTTCAAATTTTGTGTATTTAGTTTTTATGTTTAATATATTTAGTTTTGTTGTTGAATGTGTTCTTATGTAATATATGTACAGTACGGAGCACCATATCGTCCGCCGTGAGGAGAAGTAGTTCTCCTGCGGCTGCCTCCTACTAGCACGCGCCAACGGCCCGAGATTTAATCCATATGTACCGGCACGGTTACCGATGATACATACCGACGCGGTTAGCAATAATACCGACAGCCATATGTTACCATAAAATTATCGCGAAAAAAGTAACATACATTANAAAAAGTNACTGCATTGAAAGTGTTCCNATGCGACTCAGGTATTCCCCGAAGCATCCATGCCCGGTGAGCACCTGAGTCACCTTGTAGGTGAGGTGGCCGACCCTGTTCTCTAGCCACACCTCGAGATGGGGTCGAATNACCGCGACGACTTCTTGGACGGNCGCGCGCGGTTNGTCCAAGTGCTGCTCCCAATCGAGGAGCAGCTGTCGTCGGGCCTGGCGCTTGGCTTTGGCAAGAGCNTCCTGCAAGATGTTATCTGCAACGCNNTCCTGTAGCAGCTTGACTCGGCGAGCATATCTCGCCAAGTACATTTTTGCCAGGAGNGCTAGTGGAGATACTCCCGCCAACACACCCGCCGTCTCCGTTGCCACTGTGCGAAAGCCGCATATGGCGCGGAGGGCGATGACTCTCTGGGCGGCGCGGAGTTGAGCAAACGCGCTCCGCGCCCCCAACCATGTTCAACCATAAAAAAACCATGTTTAACCATACTTGAACCATAAACAAACCACATTCACTCATAAACGAAACTATGTTTAAGTAGAAACAAGTCACGATTAACTATGGAACCACGTTAAACCGCGATTAATACCGATAATCTATATAAATATGGTATAGAACAGGGTAGTAAATGTACAACTAAAGTTGTTGCATGTAACATTTTATTGTCGTTTAGACCATCAAGTAAATATTTTAAATACATTTTGTAATGCGCAATGTTTCACATGTTTTTTACATTGTAGACAATTCAATACATTCAATTTAGTTAAAGAAGCAATATCGTCGTAATCGTCATCCAATGTTTTAATAAGGAATCCACGTTGTACGTCACTATCGAGAATATCAGCTAGCCAGTTACATTTTTCAGGACCTTTAACATAGACAAGTAAAGATGCGTTGTCATCATTTTCTGCAGTGCCACAAATAGCTGGTGTACTCAAATTTTTCACTCTGCGNTATGCAACATTTCCATCTTCCCAACGCAGCCTGTGATGATGCGTCATCAACCAAGAAGCTGCTGACCTGTCTGATCTTGCAAGTAGATTCCACAAAAAGGGGTTTTCAAAAATGTAATGCGAGAGAACCTTTTCGCAATACCGCTACTTCTTTGACAATAAATATTTTCCCGACTACAAATTCTTGTAAGTCTACAAACGTCGACACATCCGTGATGATGTAATTGTGTGACCGATAAAAAACGACTGCTGTCTATTGGTACATACTGTGGTTCTTAAACGATTTTTCAGATTATGGAAGGGAGAAATGCTGATGTTGCAATTTAAGTAATTTTGAGCANTANGTTAGTTAACGGGTTGTATTCAACCAGACGATCGTGCAAAATGAGACAATAGGCCTTAGTATTTGTCGGTATATTTTCTTTGCAATCAAATTCGATACGCACATCAACGGTTGCACTTTTGACAGTCTCGTTTTGACGTGAGCAATCAATGACCACTAAAGGACTACATTGCAGAAAGTTGTACCTTGTGAGAAACGNTACGACAACACCACATCCGTAGTACGTTTTACGGAAATGTGTGTANATATTTTACAGAACGGCATATTTTTGTTTATCAAAATCTAAATGCAAGTCGTCATAAGGGTAGAATTCAGAGTTGAGATACAGTTTTACGTTGGTCAACTGACAGTGATCGAATCGCGTGACATCTGCTGACATATCNTTTCTTCGAGCAGTCTGTAGCGCAAATATGACGTATCTCGGTTTNTCAAGTTGTGTCGCCGTTTTTATGGCCCACAAATGTTTAGTAGTGCTTTGTAATAATGAAAACTCGTAGAGATCCCACGAGCAAAAACTCATGGTCAAATACCGCCCGCTTTCCAGAGTTTGTAGTAGCNAGAGCTTCGTAACATCGTTCAACACTAAGTGGGGCATTTGCCATTGCACTTTGAATAATTCAATTTTGCCATCCAATGCCTCACGATCTACCTGAGAAACTGCTGTTATGCAGTTNTTGTCGTTGCGCGATCGTATTAAAATTCGTTCATGACGTGCATTGATAACCGTAAGTTTNTAGTCCTNACAAAATCCTAATAACATGCTGAGTGATACGCAGAAACTAAAGTAACTATCTACGTCCACATGTTGTTTAATATCCCAACCAGCATTCTTCATGGCCATGCTTTTATCATGTGTTAGCNATATATAGTTTTTGATCGTGTTAGTTATTCCAATGTTTNTATTACGATCAATCTNCATACCATTGAGTTNGTAGCGAATCTCATCGAACATAAAAGCTACACAATTATTACCTAGATATACTTCTTCTTCGTCTTTCATNGTTAACGTTATTTTTNCTTCAACATAANGAAAACTAACACGGTAAAGTGTACAAGTCCTACTGTTGTATAGGTATGCGTATCTCATCACTGTGTTCAAATGTCGTGTTCACATACGGATTGTACGTGCGAGTTTCAAGTCTGACAATGCGATCGTCAGATTGGCTCGCCCCCAACATTTAAAATGTCGCACATATTTTCAAACTTCTCGTAAAATAAATTCCAACGATTGCAAAAAGTTACCGTTTATTGAACTTAGCTTCTTCCGATTACTGTACGTCGTAGCAGGTGTTTGTAATGGAAACCTCGTATCTTGCGTTATTTGATCCNATTCGTTCAGCACGATCATGCCGCGTANCACAGTCGTCGGCGTCGCACGTGTAACCTGACGGTTATTTCCTCTNCTNGAAAATCAAGCAATTGTCCGTTCTGATCCACAATACGTATCGTCAGATCTGTAATGCTCTGCACGATAATTGGAAGGTAAATGCTCTGTGCCGGTGTTTTCGAGATCTTATATCCTGGCGGCACGTTCGGTGAGAACTCATGTATCGTATGCACGCACCGGTTGTTGCTGTATGCACCCGCGTTCACGTTGCACTCTATGCAAATAACGTTAACGTTAATAATATTAATCGGCACATACCACTGNCGTGGATCTAAAATNCGGGTTGATGAAAATCCCAACAGCGACCCAATAGTGTCAGGTTTAGTAAAATTTATTTGATACGCGCAGTTTATTCCGCTTTTCTNTGTGTTGGTGTTTGCACGTAATATTAATGGTGAGATTTCCTCATCCTTATCTTTGCTTCTNGCATTACGTTGCACCAGTGCATGTTGCAAATAATTGGTAATATTCCACAATTCGTACGATCCTTCAGGAATTATAATCTGCTTGTCATCCGTATTGTAATAAAATTTGTTGTTTGACGAATTTACGTTCGGTATCATATGATATGTTTCAAAATCTGTTAGTCCAAGCTNGTAATCTCCGTTACTTAAATCAATGGCGGAATAGTNGCTGACCGCAAGGATGCTATTTTTACCGGTAAGTGTAAACGTNAGTGACATGTTGTNGAATGCGTATTGAAGTTTGATAGCACACTATTTAAAGAAATATAGCTTANCAACCGTTTGAAGGAACCATAATCACAATTGGCCACAATTGCTTTGATTGTAACGTTGATACGACGTAGAATTATATTCTATTTTGCCCACGGCATGTTCTAGATAACAAGGGCAGGGTACCGATAGCACAGATTTCTTTTGCGCAGATCAACGGTTGCACAGATCCCGTTTGCCTAGATCCCGTTTGCACAAAAAACTTTTCTACAGATCCCGATTGCACATAGTCGTTATTATTACATTTGCGAAGTAAATATTTTGTTTATATCACACACTATAGTACATATGTGGGCGGGGAAGGGGATCCGCCTCTCCCCCTGCACCCCTACCCTACGAAAAACTTAACCTAAACTAACCTATAATATGTCTGTGCAATCGGGATCTGTACAAAAGTTTTCTGTGCAAACGGGATCTCGGCAAACGGGATCTGTGCAACCGTCAATCTGTACTAAAGAAATCTTGGCTATCGGGATCCTCCTAATAACAAGCCACCTNTTTCGGTGGTTNAAGATTGCCAAAACTGTCAAAATATATGACATGCTTTCCTCTTTTTGCATACGCCACCCAGTGAGTAGTCCCTAGTNCATTTGTAACATCCAACTTGACGATACCACTCTCATTGCAATGTACTATGTTCGGTACTGTATTACGCATGAGAACACCTCTAAAGAAAGGTATACGCATGCGCTTAGCTAGTTGTTCTAACTGCATATTAGTTGTTACACCTGTAAGTACATTTAATGTTTTTTTTTCTTTGAAAGTCCTCGTCCGTACGGAGTCAGATAAATTCCTCGACCTTCCATCGCGCAATTATGACGTTGCATTTTTTTAGCTGCCGCTGTGCAACTCTTGTATTATTTACTGTTTTTGCAACTCNNGCNGCTCCACCAACGAGCGCACCNAGAGCACCCAGCAGCGGTAAGACTGGCAATACACCGCCGCGTTTAGCAATTGGAAGTATTTGCTTCNTTTTTGCTGACTTGCTTTTCTTTTTCAAACCCATGCCNAGTTTTTTCTTTGCTTTTATAGCCGCCCACACGGCGGTCGCAGCTGCTCTCTCACCGAGACTCGAGTCTGCCGCTGTAATACNATCGCGCGCCTTTGNAGCAAGTGCGTTATNAGCCATGTGTCGAGCAGCGAGTTTGTTGCTTCGCGAATAAGCTATATCGTGTTNACGACAAGCCGCGTTTAATGGATTAATTCCCCGATTGCCTTTAGCTAATCGTTTTTCCAAACGTGTTTCCGGGCCACAAAATTGGTAGNCTGGAATATGTAATTCGACGGGAAGAGCGTTTATCACGCGANTTAACAATCCACGACCTGACATAGATTGCAATATACGTTTGACATCAGCTGTTTTCTGACAACTGAGTAGAAACACTCGACGCGTCTCTATAAATAGGTGCTCCTTGCGCGAGGCAGTTACAAACAAACCATGCAGTTTGTGCGGCAACCTGTGGCCATTAAAGTAAATAATTTTGACAGCAAGACTCAACAACTGTCCGGCAAGAAAATACGCAAACATGGAATAATGCTACCAGTTACTATACGCGGTATTGTGTGCGGTCTTTCGAATTGTGGCAAGACGAATGTGGTGTTAAGCTTGCTTGAAAGTCCACACGGTGTTTTTGAAAACGTTTACGTGTATTCCAAGTCGTTGCAACAACCAAAGTATCAATATCTGGAGAATATACTTTCAGCAGGAGACGAAATCGGTTACTTTACCTTCTCTAATAATAACGATGTGATTCCGCCTAGTGAAGCACTTCCGAATTCTATTTTTATTTTTGATGACGTGGCATGTAACAAGCAGGATACGATACGAGAATACTTTGCAATGGGTCGTCACTTGAGTGTCGACTGTTTCTATCTTTGTCAGACGTACGCGAGGATACCAAAGCATCTTATACGTGACAACGCAAATCTGATACTTCTTTTTAAACAAGATGGTACCAATCTCAAACATGTGTATAACGATCATGTAAATACGGATATGACGTACGAGAAGTTTTGTATATTATGCCACAAATGTTGGCAAAACAAATATGGATTTTTAGTGATCGACAAGAACAGTCCTATGGACAGAGGTTGCTATAGAAAAGGATTTAACGAGTTCGCGATACCGTCGACTGGGTAATCGTTGTTGAGACATCATCCAAGTATCGTCTCTTTCCTACTGGTGTAAGCAACATGGCTGACAAAAGCAGTGAAATTATAGATCGCGAGAAAGTAGCAAAGGAGATTGCAAAAACGAGTCACTCTATTTGTCGAAAATATCGCGCTTTGAAAACCGGTAAATTAGAAGAAGAAATTGCATTGGAAAGACAGTTCAAACCTATTATCGAACTTCTCAAACAGATTGCTGAAAATACAAATACTAAGCAANAGACGTTGGACACAGTGTTTCTCGAAGACACGTCACACGAGACGAAGCGAAAACGACCACAGACATCGAAANAAACACTGTCCCCTACTTTACACAATTCAAAGCGCACTNGATATAACACTGCAATAGCGACTTCTACTNCNACAAAAGAACGACAATTGACATGGGATTCTCCATCGATTGACACTATCGTCGCTACTGATGCTACTACCAACAAATCGTTTAAGTCAACTATTCAACGTCAAATGCAAACGTTGGAGAGTCTTGAATTGTTTCAAAATCATTTTAGTCCGTTGGCGCAACAATATATGAAAGCTATCCTGAGTGGTAAAAAAGAGAACTACATAGACTACGTATATGGTGTGTATTTCGACAACGATGGAATGATGCTCGGTGATAAGCGTTGTGACGTGGATAAACAGGATAATATAATCATAGATGGTATACGATTTAAAGCAACACAAGGATTGTACGAATTGATTTTCATGAAATGTCCAAAGAACGAGTTATATACCGNGGAAGATAAACAATGATACAAAAAGATACTGGAAATAACACATGCTTATAGAAAACATCACAACAGGCTCGGTGCAATACTGGGTAACAAGGNATACNAATACAGATACATAATTGCACCTTTAATATCCAGTGTGCGTACTAAGCAGGAGAAAGGTATACCGCGTAAAATGACGTTAAGCGATCGTAAGATCAAGTACGCTCACTGGGACGATCCCAACAAACTTGTCGACCGTCTGCGATTGCTAGACGCATCCCGTCAGGCGGACAACAATGCTCATGACAACGAAATCCTGTCGATCATCGAGAAACTGCACGAAGCGGGATTCATTATAAATTAAATAGCGCGTCGGTGGTAGAGTCAGTCAGTCGTGTGCGCGTCATCATGCCAATCAACAAATTTGGGATATTGCTCAGAACACATGGAGCGTCGATGTATTATTATTATGAGAGAGAAACAATACTGCAAAATTACGTGCGTAATACCGCTCTCTGCTTTGTCGGTGCCGGCTACGATTCAAGGTCGCAAAAGATACTGCATGTAACGCAATCCGATACCGACACTGACACCGCCAACAAACGATACGTAGATATGTGCGTCACGAGTGTGAATGAATGGCAAGAGACACGTGAGAGAAAAATTATCGCATTGCAGCAGGATGTGCAAGCGTTGCGCGACGCTATAAAACAAATTCAGCGTACACTTCAATATTTATCAAACCAAAATAAAACGACTGACACAGTAGACATATAGTAAGACAACTATGGCAACAACTCGTGCTACAATCGAAAAACAACGTCTCGTAGAAGAATTG